AATTAGGATTTTAAAAAATGTTGTCTCATATTGAATCAAAATATTTAGGGAAGCTAAATAGTATTCTGATTAGAACAGTAGGATATTTGAAAAGCCCTTGGAATTTATTAAGGTGCCAGTTGCCAACGTACACTTAGGGACAAAATATGCACTAAGAGCTACAAGTAGTTTGGCTATTCTGCTCGTTGTAATATGGTAAAGAGCATGATTGCATACCTTTCAGAAGGGCATCTAGAGACTGGGCTCAAGAGATTGGGCTGCTTTATTATTATCGTTTGAAGAATACCAATTATCTAGAAAACAAATCCAAAGATGCATTTTAATTTTATTAATGATTGTAATCCATGAAGTACCCAAAACTACCTTGGACATCCATCTAAAGCAAATTCTGAGGTGGTATTTATCTGCTTATGTTCTCTTCCTGACTCCTTCCCACAGAGCACCAATGACAGTGCCTCTGCCGTGGGAATGTGTGTGAGGATGTCCAACTAGAATATGTACTAAGACACCATGAATTGAATGCAACAATATAGTAACTCTTATTCAGACGACAGATCTCGAACAGCTACTGGGATGGAGGTCGCACAGAGGAAAGAAACTTAATGGGGACTAGGGCATGATAAAGAGTAATGAGGTAAAGAAAACTAGTGGTTGCAACCTACGTGCCAAAGGACTCACTGAAAGAATAATGTTTGCATGAGATAGATTTTGTGGTTTTATTTGTCTAGGACCATAAATAAAATGAAAATGAAAACATGAAGTGATCGAGGATATGTTTTCACTGTAAGGAATTTTTTAAAAAGTTCATTTGAATGTAATACATGTGTCTAGCTTGTGCCCAGAGATCCCTATGCAATTGTTGTTTGTCCTCAAACGCAAATTCCCTAATTGTAAAGCACTTACAGTTAATAATAAGGACTTTCTTTGAAACAGATATTAAATAGTTTAAAATAAAAATTAGCCTGAGAATCCAGGTCAGTGCTAATTATACCTTTGTAAGGACAAACTTATGTTGTTAGCACCATAGACACTGGTTTAATTGCAAACCCATATTTGCAATATTGACGCTTTTCTGCATTGGAAACTTAGGTTAATAGCACTTGCCTTCCTCATTGTGCATATCTAACTTCACAACATTTTCATTTTTTTTTCTTACATTGCAAATCCAAGTTGAGACTAATCACACCTTCTTTATTCTGCATGATATTAATGGTATCAGAGTTGTGTTTCATTACTGACAGTGGTAATAGAATTGATATAATCCTTCCTGCAAATCCAGGTAAATGGTGTTACTCTTTTTTTGCAGAGCTAGCTTAGGGAATGCAAACTCATTCAAGGTGCAAATGCCAAAACCATTATGCTAATTTCCTCTGCACGGAAATTATTTACATTTTATTTTATGCCTCATCAGAAGCAAGGCGAATCAAATGTACTTTCATTATTTGTACCTTTCCTTCTAACACTTTTCGGTCCCTTACAGCTTACATTTAGCACCCAGTGCATGCATTATATTTTACCATCTGCTCTACCTAAGTTTCAGATATGTAGTATTAGGAAAGTTAATGTCCAACCCGCCCCCCACCCCCAAACAAACAGGTTGGTTACTTGGTTGGTTACTTGGTTGGTTGGTTGGTTTTGGCATTTTCCCTTTCTAAAAATAAGAGATTACTCTCAAATGAAAAAGTCATGTTTGGGTCCTCTTTATCTGAAGTATACAGTTTAGGGTTCTATTGCTGAAACATCTCATATTTGGCAGACACAGTTATCTTAACTTCCATCACATAAATGGACAACTGTTTGTATTTACTCTGGTACCTTTGGATCATATTGTAGAATTGTAATCTGGGGATTAGCTACTTACCCCATTCCATCTTGGGTACTGTGACTGGATCACTAGTAAGAGTTTATGACTAAAGAATTAAACAAAAATTAACATTTGAGGCAGTTAATGTACTTTGGAGATTAGATACTTAATTCTGTAACCTCCCTCCCATGGTTCTGCTCAGCCTGTACAATCCAGCAGAGATGACCTGTGCCAGGTCCCTTCTGTTAAGCATTGTTACTTGATGGGACCTAGGAAGCATGCCTTCTCTGTTGCAGCACTGCCCTCTGGAACACCTCTCATCTCAAAATACACCTAGTCCCCACCCTGGCCATGTTAAAAAGAGCCCTGAAAACTTGGCTCTTTCCCCAGCCCTTGGGTTAGAGTGAGTGGCAGGTCCTGTGTGTTTTATTGCTTTTAAATTGTTGTTTTTATTCTAGATATATGGATTTTTAATTGTATTTTAGGTTTGGTTTTACTGTATGCCACCCAGAATTGTTATAGAATTGGGTGGTCTTATACATTTAATAAATAAATAACAATAAATAATGATAAATATGTCAGATTGGCTTGAATTCAGAGCGAATTGAACTCAAGTGGAAAAGATGGTACAATAAGAGGCCATACCCTGGACTATAAAGAGAGAACACAGATAAAAACTCCTTTGACTCAAAAATATCACAAGAATTTGGGGATATGTGTGTGAGAGAGAGAGAAAGAGAGAGAGAGAGAGAGAGAGAGAGAGAGAGAGAGAAAAGCCTTATGTTGAGTTAGGCTATTGTGTTCTATTCCAAGAGGGTTATAAATTCTATTGCTTATAATCCTTTACTTCAAGTTTCTAGAAATTGAAACTTGGTCATTCTGAATGTTCCAAATCATAGACTGAACAGAAGGATCCAATTCAGCTACTACAGTGTAGCTTCCTGGCTTCTTCTCACGCTGAGGGTTGAGGGCCTCTTTCCTGTGTGATGGAAGAATTTAATTGGTCTACCTTGCTTAGTTGGAAATGCCTTTCTGCTTGCATAGCACATCTTTGGATCCAAATAAGAGCTTTGACTCTACACGCAGCATGGAAATGACTCAGCAAAGCTTGAGAGAGGTTATAGGGACAGAGAGCTATTGCCAACAACTATTATTGTATGTTATGCATTTGCTTAAATATGCCTTAGCAAGAGTCCTATGCAAATCACAACCACACCACAGTTAGGTGAAATGAATCCCAGAAAACATGTGAAATTAAAAAATACATCATTGATGTCATTGTTTGTGATGTGGGCTCAGAACAAAATACTGGATTTTGTCTTATGTATCAGAGATTATACAACATTAATTTTCAAAGCTGGGCTTGTCGATGTCACACTGGCTTATATTAGGCACTTCCTTGTCACAGTTGATTCTGCCATCCAGTCTGAGGGGCTTGCTGAGAATCCCCCTTCCCTGGGAAGTACATACAACTCGGGGCAGGTAGCAGCCCTTCTCTGTATCTCATGCTCTGGAATGTGCTTTCCGTGGAGGTGTATACAGCTCTCTCCCTCTGTGGATTCTGCAAGACAGTGAGATCATTCTATCTCCATGGTGCTGTTAAGCCCTGATTAACTGTAGGTGTTCTCTTGCAATGTGCTTTTTTTTGGGGGGGGGGGGTTCTGTTGTACCTTGATTGCTTTATTTATTGTTTATTTTTCATGCATGCATGCTTCGGTGTACGCTTCCCAGAGTCTTATGAGTGAGGCAGTCTGCAAGTATGATAAATAAACAAACATAAATATCAAAGAAGGTTTTAAGGGGAAAATATTAGTCGGGGTGTATATTTGAATTACCAGAACTGCTGCAAAAGTTGCTGTCCAGGAGTCTGTGATATATTAAGGCTAACTCAAATAAGCAATAAGCAAACATTGAGAATCAGCGCAACTTCTCCATTGTCAAGTTGCGAAGAATTAAACCATGTTTGCTTTGCTAAAAGCACTTGGTGTTGTTGGAAAGAAATCTGACCAAGTATGTTTCTGAGTCAGGAATAAAAATGTGCAGGCAGTTGCTTGAAACAGAGGTGAAGTTTTTTTCTGAGAACAAAGCACAGTCAGCTGTCGGGGTGGCCGCAGTGACTCTTTCATTTTAAGCCCTTTATGCGGAGAATCCTTGCCATTGTTACTCAAAAGCTCACAAAAGTGTGCCCTTCAGGAATTCCGAGAAAACACACTTAGCGTGCCTTCTGAGAAGAAGCCCTCTGTAGTTAGGCACCTGCTGAGTTATGGTTTTCTGTTTGTTCAGTATTTGTTGATTGAAATGGTAATCTCCTAGGGGAAAGGATCCCTCCTTATTTGATCAACAAAGAGATCTCCTGCTATACCTCAACTAGGAAGGAATGCTATTAGCTTGGCATCTCTTGCTGCATTTTTATCTATGTATTTGGCCCATTCTAATTATAGTTTCTCACCTTTTGCTTTGATCACGGTGGAAAGACTGCATGGCAGGGAGGAGGATTTCCTTCTCACAATCTCACAGTTTCATAGAGTTACAACAGCAGACATTTGTGGGCCTCTGAGGAAGACATGTCCCCTCTAGCAAATATCTTATTTATTGGTGGAAAAGCACCTCTCACTTATCTCCCTTGGATATTAATCCAAGTAGACAGGATTTGGATTTCCCATTTAACACTCAGAGAACACCTTCTCAGTGAGGTACTGAAGAGGAAGTCAAGGAATAAATATTTTATAATCTGTGTCATTTGTACTGAACCTGCCAGTTTTCATCCAGAGTTGCAACAAACTGCATTTTGATTAGCCAAATCCCTGTATGATTTTTTTAACATTACAGTAAATCTTTCCAGGTGAGCAGTTTGTTCCATTATCTGAGACTTTCAAATGGGGTATAAAATAAAATTAATGTTGGTTGATATTCTAGTGATCATCCTCTGTTTCCCCTCTGCCTCCAGTGGCACAAAACTCTGGAATGTTTGCTGATCAAACCAACCTACCCATTATCATCCTTCCTTCCCTCCAAACTGATCAATTAAAGATTTTCCTTGCCAACCACTCACAGGTCTTTTCCCCAAAGCATCA